AAAAAACAAGCCGAAATACTGATCCGACTGATTTGCTGTGAGAGAAAAATACTGTTACGGCTAAAAAAACAAGCTGAAAAGTACGGATTAGAAGACAAATGAATCGGACCAAAACGCCATCAGCAGTACTTATGAGTCGCTGCGCATGGATCGTGCACTGCGGTCTAAGCCGAACTGGTATGGGACGTCGATGTCCCCGCACCTTGTTGCGCAGACAGGACGTCCTCCCGCGGCGGCGAGCACCCACACGGCCTGGCCGAGCAGAAGCAGCCGTGAGAACTTCACCCATATCTCTGATGATACGTACTCCGTACTAGGTTGTTGTGCTGATTGGCCCTTTGGGTGGTGCTTCGGGCCCAAAGTGAGTGGGTTGAAAAGTCGTTTGTGCTGATTTATATGGGTTAGTTTTTTTAGAGAGAAAAATATTGTTCCGTGACTTATAAGTCAACAAATAAGCTGGCTTATACAGCCAGCCGAACACCCCCTTTGGTGTTGTTGATTGATAGTATTGTTGTACGTTGGCAGTATAGATTTTTTTTATTGGATACAACATGACGTATACAACCCACACACGCGTGCACATCCGTACACATGCAAAAAAAAGATTGGAGGCTCTCTAGCCTGTGCATGGGAAACGCGCAATACCACCCGTGTATCCTAAAATTTTTGGAAAATTCCAGAAAAAGGTGTGACACCAAGGGTAGCGTCCCACTACCACTAGACCACAGGCCCATTCACGGTAATATAGATTTTTTAAAGGCTTGGTTACAGCAAGTCCATAAAATTAAAAAAACGGTAATGCTGCGGTTTGGGCCTAAAAAATTCCCACTCCGCCTTGTGCGCTGTCCGCCGCCGCCAGCGTCGACCACCTCCGCTTCCTCCGCACTGGGGCCCTCGTCTGCCTCCGTGATGCCAGGCTCCGCTGCTGCAGTCGTGTCTCCCGCCTGGCCCCTACGCCGGCGTCCTCTTCATCACCTCCTCATGCAGCCAGAGACGGTGACGGCGTCGCTAAGATTGAAAACGGACAAAAAAATCATGTTCCGACCCATTCCGTTTTCTATTTTGTTCCGTCCGTTTCTGTATTTGTGAGATCCCGTTTCAAAAACGGTAGAGGGTTTTTCCGTCCGTTTCCATAGGATCCCGTTTTCATCTGGAATTGACTCATATTTGTTTCGTTTTTCATCCCGTTTTCAATCTATGCGAGATATGTTTAGAAATTAATATGTTCGTAAACCTACTAATCACCAATTATGCATGTAAACATGCTAAAAAATGGCATGCTTGTGAATATTGGACCGATAACTTCGTACGTGTATATTATTTTATGACTTTGTTCATGTATGCTCGGGAATATTTGATCATGTTATTCTAAATTAATTTTCCGGCTCTCCGTCCGTATTTGTCTATTTCCGTATATCCCCATCCGTTTTTATTTCCGTTTTTTCCGAACCCGATCCTATTTCCGCTAAAAATATAGAAACATAAACGAAAGAGGAGCTTTTCCACCCGCTTCCGTCCGTTTTCATCCCTAGGCGTCGCGGCGGGGCCGTACTTCGTGCCTGCCTTGAGGCTCCTCGCACCTCGGTGCCCCAGCAAAAGAAGCTCATGGCGACCAAGTTCATGGTGCTCTTCGTTCCGCTGCCTCCCAATCCTGATCTGCCCATCGAGGCGGTTATCGAGTTCCTCAGCGCACCTGACATGGTGGTCGCCGCGCCTGGCATGTTGCAAGCGTTGTTTCATGTGTTTCAGAGGTATGTTGCAAGTGTTTCATATGGATGTTGCAAAAGTAGATCGAGATGTTGCATATGTTACAATGGCTATATATGTATGTTGCAGGCGTATGTTCCAAATGTTTCATCTGATTTTTCAGACATAACTTGGGAGCGTGTTTATCTGGATGTTGCATATATTTCACACATACGTTGTCAGTGTTTTTATTTGAATGTTGCATATGCTTGCAATAGCTTTCAAGTGTCTTTCATATGATTTTGCAAGTGTTTCAGATATATCACATCATCATCATCGTAGCACTATAAAAGACAAGTTTTTTTAGGAGGTCTTCTTCTGTAATAACCGTTCGATCTAAACGTCATACTATATAATCCCTCCGTCATCCATAATCTTACATGTAAGATACAAAACTCCTCCTAAACCAAGATTTCTTCTAGACCCTATGATCTTAGAGATTCCTTGCCAGCACACAACTAGATCACGGCACAACACGTCAGCCGCCGAGCAAGCCGTGTCTACACTGGACACTGGACCAAACTTCGCATGTGCACGTCCATGCACCATATATAAACAATGACTAAGGAGGTGGTATACTCCAAATTCCAGTCGGAGTTGGCTCCACGTGTATACATATATCTCAGAGTACAGATCCATTTTTTTTCCCAGTAGTAATAAACCTTCGGTACAAGGGTTTGGTTCAGGACCCAGCGGCGCACGGTTTGGCTAGACAGGGCCGCATGTTGCACCCTCAAGGCCACATAGGTCTGGCCGTGTGGCAGCATGATGTCCAACGAGCAAAGCTTTGTATATAAAAATACAAAACCAAACAGCGAAAAGAGAAAAAAAAAACAAAAATATCCCACTGCTTTACTGGTCTTGACGAAGACTAATCTATATCTATACCTAATAATAAAGAGTCAAAATTTATGTCACCTCTAAATTTTCATCCAGACTAATCACCGTGGTCGTGTCCGTGTCTTTTTTCCGTTTCCGTCTCTATTCCTTCTCCCGCTGCTTTCTCTTTATTTCTTCTCCCGCTCATAGGTTGGGTCCCATATGTGGTCTCAAGAAAAGTGCTGCCCCACCTCCGGGTGATGTCCAGTGACTTTCCTTTGTCGTGATGCCCTTTTTGTGTTTTTAGTTTTAGTTTTTTATTTCTCGATGAAACAACTTTAGTGTTTCTTATAAAGACAAAAAAACTAATAAATACAAGGGGTCTGTGAAGTTTTGACCCTTACTTAATAAACAAATAACTTTATTGCTAACGTCATGTTCGTTTGAGCTTATTCAGAATTACTTTTTAGCTATGGAACAATATTTTCTCTCACAACATTTCAGCATAAACCAAATTTCAGCATCAGCGAAAAGAAGAATAAATTATTATTATGACATGAATAATTAGCTGATGGCCCAAATAATCAAACCCAAAATTAAAATCTTGAGCAGTTTGTCTCCTAATCTAATCAAAAGAAATGTTTCTCTGAGCTGTCCGCACATATCAGTGCAAATCTCTAAGTTATCTGAATATACCAGTGGAACTTTCAACAAGGGGGTGACATGTGGAAACCGATTTTAATAAGATATTAAAATTACATAGCTATCTATACCTAATATTAAAGAGACAAATTAAAATGTCGCGGCCGCTGCAATTGTGTAACAAGATGAAGCGAATAGGATTTGATAGTTTTTTACACCCGTTGCAACGCACGGACATGTTTACTAGTATTGCAAATTTTCTCACCTATATGTTGTAAAAGTAGATCTGGTGTTGCACATGTTGCAATAGGACCCACCTGCTACGGCTGCTGGGGCGCCACCGAGCGGGCACAGATGGCGGAGGGGGCACAAGCGGTCCTGCACGCGGTCTGACGGCGTGGGCCCTGTTTGGGTGCGTGAAACGCGGGGGCGAGCGGGGGCGTGCTGGTGAGCGCGGGAAACAAAGTGTAGGCGGAGGGCGTCTATCTAGACATCCGAGCGCTAGCAACGTCGGTAAAAAAAAATACAATCCTCAAGTTTGCGTGGAAGTAAGACTGTCTCCAATAAGAAACCCATATGGACACCCAAACCCAAAATGGATAGCAAGATACCCAAAATCAGCCTCTAACAGAGTATCTATACGAGATACCTATTTTGGGTTGCATGAGAGGCACAACCCAAATATAGGCATCATCTCTCCTGAAAACCCATTTGCAGAAAAGATTCTCTTTTGTGTCTTGTTATTAGAGAATATGCCGAATATGTATTGAACTTTTTGCCTGTAGCGCTACCCAAAAGACGAATAAGTCTTATATTTTGGATGTTATTGTTGGAGATAGCCTACGTGACGAGGACATGCCTACCATACCCAAATATTTTTTTCTGATCTTTCACTGTACAAGCTATCGATAATTAGTATCTCTAGTGCTGTCTGCTGTGCAAATCTCACGGTACAAGCTATCAATAATTAGTATCTTTGGTGCAGTGCAAAAATTCGGTAAAAGCAACGATAATTGTGAATTTGGACGCCAGGCAAAAAGTACCACATGACTATTGGCCCTGTTCGACATGATTTATTGGTGCTGTGACTGATTTATTGTGAGAGAAAAATACTATTCTATAACTGAAAAAGTAGGACTGATTTTAGCTGATAAGCTCAAGCGAACATGGCCATTGTTGACAGAAAAATAATTCTTGTAGTCCTCACATCACTAGCCCAGATTGAAATAATCCAAGACAATATAGCAGGGCACCCCAGAAAAGACTTACGACGATTAACAAACTAGGCAATAACAGCGGCCAGTTGTATTTTCAGGATGTCGATAGTATTCTCTATTCTGCATTAATCCACAGAGCAAGCACAGCTTCACAGAGTCTGCTCCAGAAAAAGGTAAAGTGCTCTAGAAACTGCAGTTTTTTTTACGAAGCTGTTCTATTATGAGCAAAATTAGTAGAACAATTTCAAACAGGCCCCTTACTCCCATCCCGTAGGAAGCGGGCTACATTCGAGCCCAGCACCGACGGGCTTGACGCGCTTCCCATCCAGCCCGCTCAAAGCCCAACTGGCTCCAGTCGCCGGTTCTCCGAGACCCAACCCAGCTCCCTCCCAGCTTTCCCTCCTCACACCAAACCCGCATCCGCACTCTTCGCCGCGCCGCCGCTCCTAAACCTCAGAGGTTCAGACCGTCGGACGCAAGCCCCTCGTCTGTCGTCTCTCTCGCGCCACCGGCGCCTTTTCGCACGCCGCCACCGAGGGGGCGAAGGAGCGCGCACGCGTGCGACAGAGGGGTAAGATGGGAGGCGGGCGGAAGCGCGGGCGCACGCAGCGCCGCCACTTCAAGCAGGGCCGCGAGAACGTCTGGAAGCACAACCCTCAGCGTCCTCCCGCCGGCGAAGGAGGCGAGGGGCGGGAGGGCAATCCCTCGTGGCAGCCCTTCGCCACCGAGAACCCGGCCTTCGAGGACTACTACAAGGTATTGACGCTTGCTTCATATCACGCCCTGCTTCCTGTTGCGATCTATTGTCCCAAGCTGTCAATTGGTGCGTTGCTAGCTTGTGATGCTAGTCAGATGGTGGTGGGATACCTCGGGGTTGCTCTTCATGTAGGCTCTACCTATGACGCTTTGTTGATGTGGTAGGGCCTGATGTGTTCATTTAAGCTATGATGAGTTTGTTAGTCGCAGATATACGAGTCTACTGCAATTTGTAGTATTAAGCTCTTCTCTTACCGTATGCTCATGGTGAGATTCCTTAGCTTGTTGTACATTTCTTGTAGAATTTTAGCTTTTCAGTTCGATGTATAATTTCGGAAACTTTGGATTGTGATTTTTGCTAATCCTGTTCAATTTGGCACATGCGTTTGTCTTGCAGGAGCAGCAAATTGTTCCTGAGGAAGAGTGGGATAGCTTCATGAGTATGCTCCGGAAGCCATTACCTGCCACTTTTAGGATTAATGCGAGGTAATGCTTCTCTTTCAAGTATGAAGGTGGATACATAAGTTTTGCTCGATTGTTTGTTAAGTTGTTTTGACTAAGCTGAATGAGAAAGCGCTTTGCTTATGAACCAATAGTAGATACCACACTCTTGATTACTGCTGCATCGAAGTGTATGCATTGGGTATGGTACTTTCCGTGACTGATATATTAGCAATAACTTCGCACTTCTGCTTTAGATCAACAATCCAACAGTTTCCTGGCTATTCTGGTGTATTTGGTTGTATGTTCAGGTTGTAAGATCATCAATGTGCTGTTAAACTGTGAGAACTATACGTACCACCTTATCCTTCTGAGTCCTGAGATATAAAAGTTGAAAGCGGCCCTGTTGTCTTATGAAATCTTTATTGTTTCCAAGCAAGAATTATTTATTGATTAAAGCTTCCTTACTCTTGAAAGTGTAACCAAATTCACCTGATCTTGTTTCATTATAAAATCAAGTTTGATGTTGTATATGCTGTTTACAAGAATATCGGGCCATTGTTGGTCTGATTCACTCATATAGACAAAACTGCGTTGTTTAATGGACTTTGGATTCAATCCCCACGTTGTCCTAGACCCTTTTCCTCTTATATTTTTATAAAGGATCATGCTATCTCTATAATGGTTTGTTTGCTCTGTTTACATGCTATGGAATATGTACCATGGTTCATCAGCTATTTTGTTTGCATATTGTTCACCGTGTAACATGCTCATCTTGCAAGAACCTAAACAGGCAACCATGTAGTTCCACAGAGTAATTGTACAAATACTCTGGTAGTTTTACCAAGATTTTTCCGTACTTTTATGCTTTCCAGCAGTTGAGATTAATTGCTGTCTATTTAGGTGTTTAATTACTCTATTTTAGCAAGCTAAAGTTTTCTTTGTCAGCTGTCAGTTTTTTCAAGATATCTGCTCGCAATTGGAAAACGACTTCAGGAAATCATTAGAAACTGAGGTTGCTTCTAAAACCCATGCATAAGTCCAAGTTAGAGTTAGTGCTTCTGACATTTTCTATTTTTGTCATTGACAGGTCACCGATGAACATGAAGAAGATGCTATTAGGCCTTTGCCTTGGTACCCAGGTAATCTTGCATGGCATTTGAACTTTTCTCGAATGCAGCTGAGGAGAAACCAGGCACTTGAGAGGTAAACACAATAACAGATGCTGTGTGATGTTCATTTTGAGATAATCTTGTCAAGTAGCAGTATGTTATGTATATGGTATATTTTGAGAGAATCTTGTCAAATTGTAGTATGTAGAAATTACTTTGAACTTATTATGTTTTCATGTTGAAGGTCCTTGTAAGAGTTTTGAGGTGCTAACTTAAAATAAGTACATAAACTTTTTGTATTGCCTCAGATTTGCAGATGCATTGGCTGTGTATTCATATGCAAAATAAGTAATAACTAATGCCATATTGTGATGTAAAGAAAGGTTTTCCTTTTCTTTATTTTTGAAAAAATGATTTTGTTGAAAACTATTGTTGTGCGTAATAGTTCCTGTCACTGCAATATTCATGTTGGTCATTTTAATATTCCAGTGAGATAATTGTTTGTTCAACATTGACTTTTTTATCACTTAGTTTTCATGAATTCTTGAAGCGAGAGAATGAAGTTGGCAACATAACTAGGCAAGAGGCTGTCAGTATGGTAGGTACCTGATTCTTTTTTTCAGGGATGTGCTGTACTATTTATGTATTATTATACATATCTTGGGTCAATCTTGTTTCAATGGTATGTATTGTTGCAGGTTCCACCACTGTTTCTGAATGTGCAACCTGATCATCATATTCTTGACAGTATGTTATCTATCAACCTTGTTCACAATATTTACATATTGTGTAGTTTAAGTAACAGCCTGTTACTCATGTACTGTCTGTTTGTCTAATGGCTACCTTTTCCAGTTTGTGAGGTTTTCAGCTAACAAGTTTGTGCAATAGTTATGTACATGTTTAAAATTACTGATATTTTTCTGCACATGAGTAAACACGTCTAAAGGAAAAGAGAAAAATGATTACCATTCTAGTTACACCTTGTGTCTGACTACCCATAGACTAGCTGGATCTCTCATTGAAGCTGAAACTTTCTGTGCTTGACTTTTAGCCTTTATCTTGAACTTAATCAAGGGCAAACAGTTTCTACTTGGTCATAGTATTCATCTTTTATCTTGAGACTGGTGATTTCTCTAACCATGGTCTCATTTTTATTATCTTATTATGCAGTGTGTGCTGCTCCAGGATCTAAAACTTTCCAGTTACTTGAGATGATTCACCAGTCAACGAAGCCTGGAATGCTTCCAAATGCCCTGGTGTGTTTCAATATATATCACATGTAACTGATGTACTTACAAGTTTTTTTGGGTTCCTATTGGTTTTCAGAAAGGTATTGATTGCGTCATTAGTTATCTTACCTTATGCTTCCCCCATATAATCAGGTGGTAGCTAATGATGTTGATGTGCAAAGATGCAATCTTCTTATTCACCAGACCAAGAGAATGTGTACAGCTAACCTGATTGTGACAAATCATGAAGCACAAAACTTTCCTGGTTGTAATCTTGCAAAGTTCTCTTCAGAAGTGTGTATGGATGAGGCAAAGCTGCAGAGGTTGGAGTTTGACCGCGTTCTTTGTGATGTGCCTTGTAGTGGTGATGGGACTGTCCGTAAGGGCTCTGATATGTGGAGGAAGTGGTGAATACTGATTCATTTGTTCATTTTGCTACTGTGTTCACTTAGATTCTTATCAATTGGATTGACTATTCAGGAATGCTGGTATGGGGAACGGACTTCATCGCCTGCAAGTGGAGATTGCTATGCGTGGTAAGGATTAAAACATGTTTGGAGCATTACCTGATTCATAACTCTTCAGTTGGTTCATTATGTTAGAATTTTCTTTTTTGAAATGCTTTAAACATTTACCTTTGCAGTGTTCAGCTGTTGATCTTCTTGCACAAGTGAACTGTTGTCATCATTCTTTGATTATGATTTAGGTCCTTGCAGTTGTGGCTCTCCATTAAATCTTTCATGAATTTGATTGCATTGCCAGTTTGATAGCTTATTACTCCTTCAGAACTTGCAAATCTCTTTATATATTTACTCTTTATATATAGGATAACAATACATAAGCATAAAATTCGGTTTGTTTCATATCAATCATGTATTGTGGAAACTGACATGAAATTGATATACGTATATGTTTCTCCAACTATGGCGAGTAAATGCTAAGTTATTTCTGCTATTAGGGATTTGTTACTCATGAGATTAGGTTTGCATATTTGATTATTTGTTGCTTGTTCAGGTATGGGTTTGCTCAAAGTGGGTGGGAGGATGGTTTATTCAACATGTTCAATGAACCCTGTTGAAAATGAAGCTGTTGTTGCTGAGGTATTTTTTTATTGTTGATTTCAACTGTAACATTTACTGTATAAATATTTGGTTTGGTCAAATATTCTTCTCTTTTTGTTTTGGTACTTTCATGGTTGGATTTCTCCTTGAAAAATAGTGCTCAGGGCATATTAAGTCCGTTATCCAAGAAATGCTTGGCCAACATGACATGTTCTTTTTTTTATTATATTCATATATTGATTTTGTAATTTACTCATTTATAGCTTCTCAATTTTGTACATTTTGTAACATCAACAGTGTTCTGCATAACTCCACAGATTTTTTATGGAGATGTGGGGACTCTGTTGAACTTCTTGATGTTTCTAATGAGCTACCTGAATTAGCCCGTCGTCCTGGACTTAGCTCCTGGAAGGTTAGTATACTTGTTTCTAAAACCATTCATATTAAATATACTATGATGTCTTGCATGATTAAATTTGGTTTCCTGCGAACCTAGGGTTTGATATCCTTTCTGGAAGCAAACACATTCAGGAAACTTTTGCACATGACACAGAACCTCTTTAGTCATTCAGCAGTGCACAGTGCATCTGCTGGTACATGTGAAGTTGCATTTTCATATTGTACACTTTCTGCTTAACTGTGTTGTTTATTTATTTCCTTTTGTTATCCTCAATAGTTTTTGGCACCTGAAATAAGTAAAGAGGAGACAAGTGTGCTAATTTTTTAACTGAAAAATAAATCTTTGTATTGTGACACTTTCTCAATAATAATCTGTGGGTATCAACATGTGTTTCAACTTGTTTACAGTTTTTTCTCTGTCTATAGTATTTGTTTGCATTGTACACTTTCAGTTGGTATCCACATTTGAGTCACACGATTCTATCTTCTGGGGTCTCCATAAAATTTTATAATTCAAGGTAGTAAAATTTTTATCCTGCTCTCCCCTCAGTAGTTCAAGTATTGCAGGTACGGGATAGAGGGTCTTGGTTTGGTGTCCACGAAGATGTACCTCGCTACAGGAAGCATGTGATATCACCAAGTATGTTTCCCTCTGGGAAAGGCAGCAAAGATAGTCTTTACGGTGAGCAACAGCGTTGAGGTCAACACAGATGTAGCTGATGCAGACATGAAGGATCCAACAGACATGGGAGAGGAGAACAAGAAACAAATATAACAATTGATGACAGCAATAATGGTGACAATCTGAAAACCGAAGAGGGAACCAAAGTTAATTGCGAGTCTGGTGAAGCTACAGCTAGTTATAAAAAGTTAAATTCTACTCCCATCTGTACAGAACATTCAGATTATCCACTGCATCGCTGTATGAGAATTGTTCCTCATGACCAGAACAGTGGGGCATTTTTCATTGCAGTCCTTCATAAACTCTCCCTACTGAACGGTAATATTCTTCCACATTCATTTATCCTGCATATTTTGTTGTTTATTACATCAAGCTCACATACATTACAGTTGTGGTTTCTACTTCCTAGTGCTTAAAATATGGTACATATCGCACCTTTTCAGAGAACCAGGTGGTAGATGGGGTAAAAAGTGAGCAGAATATTTCAAAAGACAAAACTGAGAATCTGGAGAAAGATTTAGGATCAGATAAGGCATCATCTGAAGAAAATATAGTGCATCAGCAAGTGATTGATAACACAAATGTTCTGGATGGAGAACAAAATGGAGACGGGGATAACAAAAGTTCAAAAGATAAGAGCTCAGAGGATTCTAAGGTGAATGTTAATGAGGCGGAAAATGGTCAAGCAGGAACAAGGGATAGGAGGAGGCAGCAGAACCAAGGCAGGTGGAGAGGGGTTGACCCTGTGATATTTTTTAAAGATGAAGTGACAGTCAAAAGTATTGTATCTTTCTATGGTATCACAGATTCATTTCCACTTGAAGGTCATCTCGTGACTAGAAATCCTGATACTAGTCATGTGAAGAGAATATACTATGTGTCAAAATCTGTCCAAGATGTTTTGGAGCTCAACATAAAAGTTGGCGAGCGGCTTAAGATCACCTCACTAGGCCTAAAGATATTTGTAGGTGTCCAATTAATTTTTGTTCTTTATCAACCTAAACTATTATCAGAAGCTGACATTTTTTATTTAACATGGTGATTTTATTCTACCTTTGCACTCTCTTTCAGGAAAGGCAGTCTTCAAAGGAAGGCTCGCCATGCACATTTAGGTTGTCATCAGAGGGATTGCCGCTCCTGCTTCCATACATCACAAAACAGATTCTATATGCATCTGCAATTGACTTTCAGCATCTTTTACAGTACAGGACTATTAAGTTTCCTGATTTCGTGGATGCAAAATTTGGTGAGGAAGCTTCAGCTTTGCTTCCAGGTTGCTGTGTCGTAGTTTTACGTGAAGGTAAGAGCAACAATTTTTTGCAGCTTAAAAGAGAACTCAAAACTTGAGCAAACTAAACATCTGATGATGGCTGAAAATCTTTCTTAAAATTTCAGGGCATCAGGATATAGGATCCATAGCTACAGATCCCTCAGCCATTGCCATTGTTTGCTGGAAAGGAAAGACCAATTTGTGTGTCATGGTTTCTCCACTAGATGGGAAGGAACTGCTTGAGAGGATTTCATTGCGTTTTGGGCTCAAAATTCCCAAAGGGGATAAAGAGAAACCCAGCCAGGAGATTGCTGGATCAGACGAGCTGCTTGATTGTGCCACTGAGGCGGACGATCAAGAATGTTTTCCTGAAAGCAAAGCATCTGACATCGAAATTTCAGATGCTAAGGATGCTGAGTAGCTTACTACGTATACTACACAGGAGGTAGCTAGCTGTATCATATGAGTTGGCTATTTGTTTTCAGTCACTTCAGTTGCTAAAGGAGAGATAGTCGCCACATGGGAACGCACATGATATTAGACACAAAACACCTGGTAATCGTGCATGGTGACACCACATCGTGATAATCCCTCCCTGCAACTGTAAACTTATAACCTGTTTGTTTTTCTCTGAGAGGGTGTATCGCATCGATTTTAAAATTTTGCACTGAACACTGAATCCAGTAAAGTTTGAGACGATAATATTTTTTGAGACATTATGTGTAAGTTCACTCTGAATGCTGAGATCTGAAATTTTCCGAGGCTAACTAGTGATTAGAGGCCTGTTCTTGTGGCGGTATTGTTGAGCACCAGTCACAGAACGAACAAGATGATCGTCCATTATCTCCGTTGTCGTCAAAGGGCAGCACGTGCTTAGAAATGTCTTGCATGACAAACTCAAACTGGCACACTTGATTTTTCGGACGAATTGATCTAATGGTTGGACCTATAATTCTTTTACAGGGACAGGGACATACTGAACTCAGAGCTCTGAAAGTCTGCCACAGGAGTAGTTTGGTCTCCGTATCTGGCGCCGACTGAGGCAAATCTTTGGCACTGAAAGTGAGAAAGTCTGCCACAGGAGTTTCTTGGTCTCCGCATCTGGCGCCGACGGAGGCAAATCGTCTCGGTTTCCCCTCCCAGTAACGCAAGTAACCAGCGCCCATACGTTCAAGTCCAAGCCGGTTGAAGGGAGCACCGAAGAAGAAATTGACGTCGTCATGGAGCACGCGACGCAGACCAGACCAGACCGGAAGATGTCCCACGCTAACAAGCGTGTACTCCCTCTGTCGTAAGATAATTGTCGCTACAATATTCGTGCGAGTCGAACCTTCTTAAATTTGATTGGATTTATAAAAAATATTAATAACATTTGTTTCTACGAATAAGTTTATTATAAAAATAGTTTCAATGATATATCTAATGATATTAGTTATGTATTATAAGTATCAATATTTTATTGTATATATTTGGTTAAAGTTAAAAGTGTTTGGCTACTCAGGAAGCGAGAACAACATTTATTTTGGGGCAGAGGGAGTAATTCGCACTGATGATCGGAAACAAGAAAATGGTAAGATAACCTACGTTATTATAGGTCGTTTTAGTTTCACATTAAGTTAAATGTCTCTAATCATAATAAGTTTTATAAAAATACACTAACATCTATAACATTAAACATTAAATCAGTTTTACATGAAATGTGTCACGATGGTGAAATGTGTCATGATGGTGTGTTTTGGAACTTGTAGATGTTAAATACTCCATCAATTCTAAATTATAAGTCGCTTTGACTTTTCTGGTTCATTTATTTTACTATGTATCTAGACATATTGTTATATCTAGATGCATAGCAAAATATATGTACTAAAAAAGTCAAAGCGACTTATAATTTAGAACAGAGGGAGTAGTTTTTTTAAAAAAATATGATTAAAGTTAGCCTGACATATAATTTGTAAAGGAGGAAGTACGACTTTAGCATGGATAAACATCCTATTAATCACATTTCACATGCATGCTTGGTGGATCGCCTAAGCATTTGGATGTGATTAATTTGAAGGTCTTTGGTTTCAGTAACCATTCCATCCAAGGAGGTGGTGCATCATGAGTCTATTTATTAAATTTAGTGTGAATGTGTGTAGGATCTCTGGTTAGCCTAGACGGGGGGTTGAATAGGCCTGTCAAAACAAACACTCAAACTTTCATCAAATTCAACCTGCGACACTACCGCTCTGACCTCGCGGCACTGCCGGACAGCGGCATTGTCGGGCCAAAACAGCGACACTGCCGCACCTACAGACAACTTCGAGTCACAGTTCAAATTCAGTGAATGTAAACTTGAATCGGAGAAATTTCTTAGCTTCCTGCAGGTATGAGATTCACATATCGAGAGCTAGAAGTGGTAGGAACACAACACGCAAGTAGATCGACCACAAACCATAGAAATCACCTCAACAACAATATGAAATGCAAATGATGTAAATCAAGCATAAGGTGACATGATGATTTAACCTGTGGTTCAGCTTGTCACAAAGGCTTGCCTACGTCCACATTGTTGAGGTTAGCCACTAAGGCTAGGGCTTTGCAACCCTTCCTCGTTCTCAAGTCAAGAGACTCAACCCTTGAGATGAGGAGTGAGTTTACTAGCTTCAAGAAGTGGTTACAAACCTCCCAGGACTGCCACACAAGTTGGCAAGCTCCACGGACGACGTTCTAGCTGGCTAGGAGCAAAGCTCCAAGAGTAATAAACACAACCGCCGGCCAAAACATGAATCAAGTCCTCTTTTGAGTTGGGGAATCAAATGATCTGCTCTCCAATTGAGTTTGGGACTTTTTTCCCTCAAGGATTGATGGGGAAATCAAGGAAGAATGCTTGGGAGCTCAAGGTCACCAATGGAGGAAAGAGAGAAGGGCACTCTTACATTCTTTGGACGAGTTGAATGAGTGGGAGAGGGAGGAAAGTCGTTGGGGAGGATGGGGAAAGGTATAAGTACCCCAGCTCCAATGGTCACTTAAGTTGCTTGGCAGTCTTGCATGGCTCAAATCTTGGCAGTGCTTGCCTCTCTGGGTCTCTCTCTCCGGTCTTGACGCCACACCGTGCAAGACTTGACAAGGGTAAGAGTGAAGTGTTGGCTGCCTTTAAATGAGTAAATGATGATGATGTATGTGTAAGATTGAGTACTTAGTAGCACATGTTAGCTTAAGCATTGTGCCCCCTTTATAGTACTGGCTTTTCTTATTTCAAAATATAAAAGAATTTAAACCTCCTTTGAGTTTGAAGCCATCAACATTTATAATTGAAGGCTCCTCTATTTCATGTAGCATCCTCGAATATAGATTCCCTGCTCGTCATCTCGATAAATCTTATTAGTTCTTTAATTGCATGGTCATTATCACCAAAACCCACAATTAGAGCTTGATTGCACTTTCAATCTCTTCCTTTTTTGGTGATTGATGATAACCCAATTAGAGCTTACAAAAGATATGAAATGAATACTGAGATTTTTGAGCCATGTGTGTAGAGCCTCCCCCTAAATGTGTGAATAGAGAATTGAATTATCAAATTGGTATAAGAAGCCAAGATTCACATTTTAGTAAAAGTGATGTGACTCCCTCTACATCCATGCTCCTGTGGGGTGCTGCATACTGTGTTAGGTATGTAGACATGATGTGAATGATAGTTCATGCACAACATGTTTTGATGTAATAACTGGGTGCGGCACTGCCGCACTTGCTGTAACAGCACAGATAAGAACAGGCACCACACAACTTGTAACACATATAAAGATATACATTCTAGCACAATTTTATCACCAGCTACAACACAGATTAATTCATGTCCATATCCCACACATATAAAGTACTTAGGTAGCATTATTACATAAATAGAGTTTTGAATCATCTCTCAAACTCTCAACCTAACGAAGTCTACTCTAAACGGATAAGAACATGAAGCTCCAGCTGCAGCAACCTCCTCTCCATGGCGACGAAAAAGTTGTTGACCCCTCTAATTTTCTCCCCCTTTGACATAAAGCACCAAAAAGATAAGAAAAGAAGAAAGATCAACACTCACTCCTCATCTTCTTGGATGGTGTCCCAATCGACATTATCCACACCAGCAGCTCCACTAGCACCTGCAACATCCTCCTCACCACCATCATCATCATCGTCGTCGTCGAAGGAAGAGGACACCACCGCCCTCCCTTGCTGATGGGTGGTAGAAGTGTGACGCTCACGCCTGGTGCTTCTCCTCATGGACTGCAAGGTGGAGATCAACCTTGTGTGAGGGTCAAGCTCTAGCTGCCCTGCTCCTCCTCCTCCTCCTTCGAATCTATGTCGGAGAGGCTAGGGAGGTTGTCAAACCTCGGCGGTGACTGTACTAGAGAAAGAGGTGGCAGTCCTGCATGCTCTCTAGCCTTTCGGTTGGCTTCACGGTTCTCCAACCAATCCTCATATGCGGTCCTCGCTGCATAGGTGCATGTGGTGAAAATGGACTTAATCCATCTTCCAAACTTCTCCATCTTCCCGTCCTTGCGAGACCTAGAGCGAGAGGACTCAGGCACGTCCTCAACTGATGGAGAGCATCTCACTGCCCTGCTAGCACCTGAGGCTTGGGCCTTTTCAATCTTGTAGACGGTGTGGAGACCATCTTTATCAAACATGTAACCGGTGACCCTCTTAATCATGAACATGAGAGAAGGGGCATAGGCTATCCCCTTTCTCCCATCCTCCATGGCATTCCTCAGTTCACGCCACATGAAGCGAGGGATATTGAACCTATCACCTTCAGGGGAAAATCTAGCATGCACATTCCTCACATAGCCATTAAGATCTGAAGCTGCTCCATCTTTGGGATTTATTATGTGCCTGATCAAATTGTTCATAATGTAGTAATAGTTCTTCAAGCCACTGACCTTACCATCTACACTTCTCCTGTCAATCCACATATATGCAATATCACGGATCTTAGCTGTAGCCTCATCATGAATATAAGTGAAGCCCCGCTCCTCCTCTCTAAAACTAAGGATCTGGCTGAAAGTCATAAAGTCAATCCTATAGTGCCGTCCCTCAGTCATCCAGTGAATCTCATCAGTGTAGATGTCATAGAAGAAGGTGGCATGAAACTGGGCTAGCATTTCCTCATTCTAATTGTATCGGAAGCTCATGATATCAGTGAGGCCAATAGCTCACAAGCCTTGATCATTTTGTTGCACTCAGGCTCATTTTCCCCCTTTATCTCCTCCCAGTCAACATACTGCATCTTGACAATCTTTGACTTTTTAGAGTTGAAAATCACTGAGGCATAAAAGTTGGAATGAAACTCATTCCAAAACCTGTAGTCCACCCCCAAATCCTTTGGCTGCTCATAAGGATTGTTCTCATGTGCTTCTTCCACCATCTTTAGCTTTCCCACATAGTTGAGCA